CTAAATCTCAGAAATCACTATTAAAGTACTTATTCACATAAGTAGACATCAAACACCTATTGAAATAAAAAGTCAATTTAAAACACGAAGAGAGAAAAGGGAAGAAAAAATAAAAACCCTCATTCACATTTAGCTGAAGTGGATGGCTGAACAATGAACTATTCCACCTAGGCTTTTACACATGTAAGAAAGCAGAAAAAAGATTTGAAAAAATAACTTAGATAAAAATTGACATTATTTAAAAGACCGAACTATTTTCTATGATTTCCTTTTATTCTAGCAAGAGTTTTCTATATGTTTGGTTTTGCTTTAAGATTGGATGCCTTTTCAAAGAACTTATCCTATGTGTTTGTGCATAATGCATATAGTGTAGATTCTTTCTTAAAGTGTGTCCATTCTTAAAACACACACACCCATGTGCATTTATAACAACTGACACTAAGAGAAGCTGATTACTAATAATAAACCTTATTGTTTACTCTTTACCAAATGTCTAATAATCATCAAATATCCATTTAAGTTATAAACAAACAAAAGTGATTTCAGAGCTAAGTTTGATGCCAGAAAAGAGGAATGTTTACCAGTATTTGGTAAAACTGGTTTTATCTATGAGATGCTGATACATGCAAACTGAACTCCATTTGTAATTTATTTAAAGTAATACCCTATTCTTTTTTATTAGACCACTGATGAGCTCTCCCCTTTCTTCAGATGAGAACTATTTAGATTGTTTCTGGAATGGGTTTTTTTTTAATAGATGTGAATAGCATCAATGTAATGATGGGTCATTGAGCCCCATATTTCTGTCTCTAGGGTGGTAAAATGACACAAAGTGTGAACCAAAAGTCACCTGTAGATGACATTGGGTGGATAAAAACACATTTAATTTGCATAGAAAAATAGAGAATGACAAAAGAATTAAAATTGATGGATAAAATTTTATTTAAAATAAGTTCTAAATGTTAGTTAAATATACACTAGTTAAGAATGATTTTAAACTAGTTTATTTTAAAATGGGTATATTTTGCAAAAATGGGATGCTTGTGTTTTCAGTGTTTTATCTGAATAATTTAATGGTTTACATAACTTTCTGTGAATGAGGGAAAAGCAGGTTTTTTTAATCTGAGTATTCTCAGGGTTATCTGGGCATTCTCATTTCCTACATTACTTTTTCTGAATGAAGGCAGGCAAAATATAGAGAAAAGATTGAGTATCTATATCATCCAACATTTTAAATGGAAAACATTAGCCCTTTGTTACACATATCTAGGCTGAATAAGGACTCAAACACAGCTCTTCCAACTCAGTACACAATGCTATCTTTGAGGCTTGAAGGCTATATGGCTATATTCATAACAGATTCTCAGTCTCACAATTAAACTAAAATCTAGGTTTGAAGAGATTAATACTATTTAGCGTGCCAAGTTGGGTTATAGCACGGTAGCCACATAGTTATTTATTTTTTCCATTTTGATTTTAGACCTGCAGTGTACTCCCAGATCCCAAGTGAGTTGGAAATATTGCAAGGATTATTTCAGAATTCTTTGTGTGGCTTTGCTATTATTTATGTTAAAAGTAAACAGGATTCTCTGTTCAATCGACACTGAAGGGCAAAGATGAATGATACATTATTGTCCCTCTGTTCTTGCATTTTGAGACAATTTTTATTGAAGTTTACAAGAGTTAGGAAAGGATGGTTTCTTCTGGTGAAACAACATCCAGCAGTCCAGACTGAAGCTACAAAGAGAGCAACAACAGCTCTAGCTGCTGAGAGTCCTGCTTCTACTCTCACATTTGCCCATTGACTACTCTGTATTACTGGTTTATCTTATTTGTACAGACCCTACATATCTAGAATGTTCCTTTTAAAATGCAAATAAAATACCTAAATGGGAGTGTCACTGACTTTATTATCATTCATTAACACCATAACAGGTATTATTTTATCACATTAGTTTGCTTCAGAGAGTTGAGCTGCAGGAAAATGGGACTGAATTCAGTTATGTTTTGAAAATGAAGGTGCTGGATAGCAAGATAGCAGAGTTTCCAGCAAATTTACATAGAAAATCTTTATTAATACAATAAAAGATGTCTAATGTCTATTAAATTATATAGTGGCAAAAGTGTTAGAGAATTCAGGGACATGATAATATTATCAATTACAAATTGTACTAGAGAAACCTACTCCTAATTGGTAGAAATCACAGAAGCTGATCATTTCCCAGGGAATGACCTTGTATGCTTTTACCTAAAGGAACTATTTAAATTTTTATTTGAGAAAAATAAATGAACATATAGAAGAATGGTCTAAAATATGTTTTTTTAAAAAATATTACTGTCAGAGAATGTAGGCTTGTAAGGGAGCTTGGATTTTAATTTTAGAAAGAAACTCTAGTTTCCTTGGAGACAGTGTTTATATTACTACAACAGTGTTTCTATACATATGTATCTGATATTGACTTCCATGATCTCTTCTATAATTTTCACTGAGTCCCAGGTTTATATTTAACCTTATGATATCTTCATGCATATCTCCTATAGATATCTCAAACTTAAACTTTTTTTTATTGCATTTTAGGTTTTGGGGTACATGTGCAGAACATGCAAGAGAGTTGCATAGGTACACACGTGGCAGTGGCATAAGTCATCATTTCCCCTCTCCAGTTGCAAAGCTCTTCCTTCTTTGTAAATGAATTAATCCTCTAGCAACCACTAGAGGATGCAAGCTAGAATCTTGAAAGTCTTACTTTATTTCTTCTCTCATCTCATTATGTACTTACTTTGGTATTTACTTTTGAAACTTCCCAATCTTTCTCTTTTTCTCTAAAAATCACCAAAATTCAGACTATTCTATTATCCAGTCAAAATTTCTGCTGTAGTTGTATAACCAATCTCTCTAATACAAGGTTTATTTTCAGTGCTGTATTAGCAGTCATGCTGAAAAAATAAACTAACCATTGCTATTTGGAATAGTTTGTTATGTAACAATAAATAACTAATACATAAAATTTAGAACTTCTTGAAAGAGAGAAAAAATATATAAAAGACACCTTGTTTTAAACTAAATCCCTAGTCCCCTCTCTTTGATGGTATTAAACAAAATAGAAACTCCGTTTCTCAGATGTATGTAGAATTAAAAGAAACAAGCAAAACAAATAATTAACCTAACTATAAAAATGTGTAACTTAAACTAGAGGAAAGTGGGAATGGCTTGAGGAAGGAAAATGAGATATGCAAAAAATTGATTCATGTTAAATGAAAGAAAAATGTTTTTTTTTACAAACAAAACTGCCTACTAAAGGATATACATCTTATGAAATAAAATAATTATTTTTGTTCACTGAACACTATGATGAAGTTACAGATGCAGAAGTAATTTTGTAGTTGACTTTGAAAATTGGACTGTTTTGAAAAGTAGAAGAAAAGGATTAGATATTTACTGAGGTAATCATAAGAATAATTGTGCTGAAGTTAAGGAGGATAGGGAGGAAGAAATAGAAAAAGAGAGAAAAAAATCCCAGAGAAGGGTAATGGTAGTGGCACTGGATGGCTTGTTCATACCACTTTTTAAATATTTTGAGATTTTTTTAAATGTATGTACAAATCACAGAAAGTACTGATTCCACTTTTGTGAGTTAGTGTAAATATAGAGAGCACCTTTTCAGTAAAAATAAAATTAATAAGCTTAAATAATTTAGATGAAGATGGAACTCTGAGCTAGAGGTCACTGTAAAAAAAGACAACCTCAGGAATTTAAAGACATGCTAGGGAGAATATTAAACTTTCCCCTAATAGAACAGTGAAATTTTGAGCTGATGTTGTCTAGATCTTTAAGGTAGGTAGGGTCCAGATGAAATATCAGTTATCTATACCAACATGAGCTTAGTATAATGAATCATGAAACTGTACTTATGTTAAATAATTACATTTTAAATTAGTCACAACTATCCAGGATATGAGAAATTATTTCAGGTATTTTGCATAAAAGGACTATAATGCAGAGGTTTGATTACGTAGATGATGGAGAAGCCAAATATTCCACAGTAGTACATCACTACCAATAATAATTAGGAGGGATAAATTAAGAGAAGGTTTAATCTAAGCCAGGAGATAGTATTAACAGGCAGAAGCTATAATCATGTGAACATGTCCTGAAAAAGTGGGAGCTATAAAGGATACCCAGATTCTGGACACTGCCCAATCTAAAGAGAAAGGGTGACGGAGAAAGAAATGACCTGTCTTTTCTTTAATTAATGTTTATCTGTGCCTACCCTTGTCCAAAATCACCCAGAAGCAGATAACAAGGTTGCCCACAATATACAAGATTAACACTTTGGTTACACAGAGCACAGTAAGAAAAGAACAAATAATTGGTCAAACACACTCAGGATGGGCATAGTTTATATATAAGGGAGACCAAATTTTTAAATAACTTGATAAAAAGAATGAATATAGGGATATTAACTAACAATGAAGATAAAATTGCCAGCAAACAATTTTGATACATACTCTGATTTCAGAGCTTCATTAGGATGCTGGTATCATTGAGACAATTAAATTTCAGAACCCAGTTAATTTTATATAGGCACCCACTTCAGCTCAGATAGCACATCACTGCCATATCCACAATATTTAAACTGATCTGGGGGCAATCCATCTTTTAATTCTGACTCATGGAAGGCTTCTAGTTTTCCAGCAACACCAGGTTGAACTGCACTGGTGAGTCATATCTCCCATTCCAAGATCTCTTTATTTTCAACACTGTATCTCAGGGACAGGAAAATAGAGTCAGATTTTTGAAATAGCTGAAGATTGATGACTGCAGAGAACTCTATTTCCTCTTATAAGAGGTTTTAAGGGAATAACCAGTTACTAGCAGGTTTAATGCTTAGCAAAGTCCAAGTGTTCTCTACAGCTCATGTCCTTTGTGTCCTCTATAAGAACATAGGAAGGCAATTTTCAGAAGCAAAGATTTGTTGGTATCTTCTGCCCTCACTTTTTAGGTCAAGACAGTCACCACAACCCGAGCTGCCATTTTCATTTTCTGCCATGGATATCTGACAGTCCTTCACATTCAAGAAAAGTAAGTTTCATTGAAATAAAAAGTTATAGGATTATTAGAAATATTTATACTTATTTTTGTTTTTGGGGTGCCACTAAACACTTAAAAGTCATAAATTGATAAGACAATCCCTCAGCTCCTTTAATTATCTATTAGTTCTCAAAACAATTTTCCCAAAGTGTGAAAGTTTCTGTAAAAAAAAAAAAAAAAGGCAGCATAAAAACTCTTTCAGCCAGAGATAACCTATGAATTGATAGTATATGAGTCACTTTCCTTTGCTTTTCTGTAATAGTTACACATAGACCTAAGCTTCTGTAATTGGCTTATTTCATTATTTGGAGTACATAAGATTGTATATAAGAAATCCTGATGAAAAATACAGCTCTTGGGCTTGGATATTATTCTTTGAAAACCCAAAGATTTTTCTAAGTTGGTAATAAATGAACCATATCTTATTTATTCTTGAGGAAACTTCTTTTCCAGCATCCGAGGTAAAGACTTCCCAATTTTTGACCTGCCACTGTAAGGTTTAAATTTGGTTTTCCTCAAAACTGATAGATATCAGAAATTATACCTAAAGTGTTAAAGATTCTGAGCTACATAGTACTAGGTGTCAAAATGTTATAGTGACATCTCTGTACCAAGTGAGAGTCTGAGAGTCCATTAAAAAGGTCACCCAGTTCTGTTCTCATAGGTATTTTTCACTGAATTCAGTAAAGACAGGCTCAATAAAAGGGAAAAAGAACCAAAACTGTTCCTGAGAATGACCTGACAAAAGTGAGATCACCAAAGAAAATGATTTAGAACTGTACCACAGAGACACACAAAGTAGTACCAGAGACCAACTCACTAAGTTTACCATAGAGAACTATGGTTATTTGTTTTTAAAAGATATCCTGAAATGGGTAAGTCAAAGTTTCACATGCAGAAATATGTCCAAATTAAAATACGCCCGTCTTCCTGAATAGTCTGGCCCATTCATTAAAAAAAAAAAAAGTGTTTGTCAAAGAATATAGAACAGGAATAAAATATCCTCATGACAATTATTTAATTCATAACCAGATTTGTAGTAATTCAATGTATTTTATAGTTAAAATATATTATTAATTTTGCATAATACAAATGAAATTGGATTTAAAGATAAGTTCCTGAATGACATTGAAAACACATTATTAGAAAAATTCCAAATAATTTATAAAGAATTCTAAATAATTTATTTAAATACTTTCCCATCAAGCAGATACAGTATAACTGCTTGCCCTTAAGTATGAGATGCATATAGTGACTTCCTTAGCAAGAATAGAGTATAAAAATGAGGGGAAAAATAACATCTGTACTATCAAGATACCTGGAATATACTGCTTTAGTGAGTTAATCAAGGTTAACATCATTAATAAGTTAATGTTTCTTCTATATATACCCAATTATAAATATATGTTGATAGTGTACCCCCTTGAAACGGCACAATAAAATACCACTTTACCTCTTTATTTTTCCTGAAAGAGATAAACCCTCAATAGTCATGAGAAAAACATCAGTAAAACTCAGACTTAAGGATTTTTCATAAAATATCTCATCATGTTCCTCAGAACTTTTTAAATAGGCCAAGTTTGTTTTATTGTACTTTGCTTATATTGTATTTTGTTTTGTTTTGTTTTACAAATTGAAGGGTTGTGGTAACTACATTCAGCAAGATGTGACTGAATTGCTGCAATCTCATGATCAAACTTGAACAGATGAGAGTTGCTTTTTATGGATGAGCAAATAACATGGTTTCTTGAGATGTAATCTATTCCTGGTGAAGATGCTGTGAACAGCATTGAAATCACAGGGATTTAGCATATTACATAAACTTAGTTGAGAAAGCCGGGTTTGACAGGATTGACTCTAATTCTGAAAGAAGTTCATTAGTGTCATTTTTCCAACACCATGTGCTCCCATCATGTCTCTGTGTCACATTTTCGTAATTCTTACCATAATTCAGACTTTTTCATTATTATATCTGTTAAGGTAATTAGTGATCTTTGGTGTTACTACCATTGTAATTGTTTTACAAACAATACAAACCGTGCCCACACAAGATGGGAAACTTAATAAATGTATGTGTTCTGACTGCTCCACTCACTGGCCATTCCCTCTTTCCACCCCCTCTCTTTAGCCACTCTATTCTTTGAGAAACAGCAATACTGAAATTAGGCTAATTAGTAACTCTATAATGGCCTTTAAATTTTCAAGTGAAAGGAAGAGTAGCACATCTTCCACTTTAAAATCGAAAGCTAGAAATAATTATGCTTAGTAAGGAAGACAGGTTGAAAGCTAGGCCTCTTGCACCAGTTGATCAAGTTATGAATACAAAGGGAAAGTTCTTGAGGGAGATTAAAAGTGCTATTTCAGTGAACATGCGAATGATAAAAATAGTCTTATGGCTGATATGGGGAAACTTTAAGTGACCTGGATAGAAAATAAAACCAGCTAAACAGCATGGTATTGGTACCAAAACAGAGATATAGACCAACGGAACAGAACAGAGGCCTCAGAGACAATGCTCCACATCTACAACCATCTGATCTTTGACAAACCTGACAAAAACAAGCAATGGGGAAAGAATTCCTTGTTTAATAAATGGTGCTGGGAAAACTGGCTAGCCATGTGCAGAAAGCAGAAACTGGACCCCTTCCTGAGACCTTAAACTAAAATTAACTCCAGATGGATTAAAGACTTAAACATAAGACTTAACACCATAAAAACCCTAGAAGAAAGCCTAGACAAAACCGTTGAGGACATAGGCATAGGCAAGGACTTCATGACTAAAACACCAAAAGCATTGGCAACAAAAGCCAAAATAGACAAATGAGATGTAACTCAACTCCAGAGCTTCTGCACAGCAAAAGAAACAATCATTAGAGTGAATAGGCAACCAACAGAATGAAAAAAACATTTTTGGAATCTACCTATCTGACAAAGAGCTAATATCCAGAATCTACAAAGAACTAAAACAGATTTACAAGAAAAAAAAATGAACAAGCCCATTCAAAAATGGGCAAAGGATATGAACAGACACTTTACAAAAGAAGACATACATGAGGCCAACATGAAAAAATGCTCATCATCACTGGTCATTAGAGAAATACAAATCAAAACTACATTGAGATACCATCTCATGCCAGTTAGAATGGCGATCATTAAAAAATCTGGAGACAACAGATGCTGGAGAGGATGTGGAGAAAAAGAAACACTTTTACACTGTTGGTGGGAGTGTAAACTAGTTCAACCATTGTGGAAGACAGTGTGGCGATTCCTCAAGCACTTAGAAATAGAAATTCCATTTGACCCAGCAATCCCATTACTGGGTATATATGCCAAGGATTATAAATCATTCTATTATAAGGATACAGGTACACAAATGTTCATTGTGACACTGTTTACAATAGCAAAGACTTGGAACCAACCCAAACACCCACTGATGATAGACTGGACAGGGAAAATGTGGCACATATACACCGTGGAGTACTATGTAGCCATAAAAAAGGCTTTGTGTCCTTTTTTTTGTCCTTTGCAGGGACACAGATAAAGCTGGAAACCATCATTCTCAGCAAACTGACACAAGAACAGAAAATCAAACACCACATGTTCTCACTTATAGACAGGTGTTGAACAATGAGAACACATGGACACAGGGAGGGGAGCATCACACACTGGGGTGCAACTGGGGAGGGACAGCAGGGAGTGGGGAGTTGGGGAGGGATAGCATGGGGAGAAATGCCAGATATAGGTGATGGGGAGGAAGGCAGCAAACCACAGTGCCATGTGTGTACCTATGCAACAATCTTACATGTTCTTCATATGTACCCCAAAACCTAAAATGCAATAAAATATATATTAAAAATAAAACAAGCTAAAACATTTATCCAAGCCAAAGATTAATCCACAGCAAGGACCTCTCTTCAATTCAGTGAAGACAGAGAGATGTGGAAAGTTATGGAAGAAAAGTTTGAAACTTACAGACTTTTTAAAATGAGGTTTAAGGAAAGGAGTCATTCCTATAACATAAAACTGCAAACTAAAGCAGCAAGTGCTGATGGAGAAGATGCAGCAGGTTATCCAGAAGATCTAACTATGATAATTAATGATGATGACTAAGCTGAACAGTGGATTTTCAATGGAGACAAAACAGTTTTATATGGAAAGAAGATCCAAATAGGACTTTCTTAGCTAGAGAGCAGAAGTCAATCTCTGGTTTCACAGCTTCAAAGGACAGACTGACTTTCTGGTTAAAGGCTAATGTAGCTGGTGACAATAAGCTGAAACCATATGTCATTTACTATTTTGAAGATCCTAGGCCTCTTATAAATTAAGCTCAATCTACTCTGCCTGTCCTCTAGAAATGGAAGAAAAAAGCCTCAATGATAGCACATCTGTTTACAGCATGATTTACTGAATATGTTAAGCCCCCTCTTGAGACATACTGCTCAGAAAAAGATTTGTTTCAAAAGATTACTACTTATAGATAATACACCTGGTAACTCAAGGGTTCTAATAGAGATATACAAGGACACTTATATTGTTTTCATGCCTGCTAACAAAATATACTCCTGCAGCCAATGGATGGAGGATTAATTTTTAATTTCAAGTCTTATTATTTAAGAAATAAATTTTATAAGGCTACAGATGCAATAGATCATAATTTTTCTGAGGGATCCGGGCAAAGCAAATTAAACATCTTCTGGAAAAGATTCACCACTCTAAATTCCATTAAGAACATTAGTGTTTCATGGTAGGAGGTCAACATATTAACATTAATAGGAGTTTGGAAAAAGTTGATTCCAAGTCTCATGGATGATACTGAGGATCCAAGACTTGAGTGGAGGGAGTAACTTCAGATGTGGTAGAAACAGCGAGAGAACTAGAAGTGGAAGTGGAGCTGAGAGATGTGACTGAATTGCTGCAGTCTCATGATCAAACTTGAAGAGATGAGAGCTGCTTTTTATGGATGAGCAAATAACATGGTTTCTTGAGATGTAATCTATTCCTAGTGAAGATGTTGTGAACAGCATTGAAATCACAGGGATTTAGCATATTACATAAACTTAGTTGAGAAAGCAGTGTCAGGATATGAGAGGACTGACTCTAATTTTGAAAGTTCTACTGTGGGTAAAATGCTATCAAATAGCATCACATGCCACAGAAAAATCTTTAATGAAAAGAAGTTAATTGATGTATCTAACTTTAATGTTGTCTTATTTTAAGTAATTGCCAAAGATACCCCAACCTTCAGTAACCACCACCTTTATCAGTCAGCAAAAGTGAATATTGGGGCAAGATTCTCCAACAGCACAAAGATCATAACTTGTGGGAGAGTCAGATAATCATTACAATTTTTTAGCAATAAAGTTTATATTAAGAGATACACATTGATTTTAGGCATAATGTTATTTTACACTTAACATTACAGTATAGTGTAAGTATAAATTGTACATGTGCTGGGAAACCAGATAATTTCTGTGATTCACCTTATAGAGGTTGTCTGGAACTGAACTTAACAATACCTATAAGGTATGCCTGTATTATCAAAATCAAGGAAAGTCTGAGAAACCTCACAGTCTATACGAACTCAAGGAGATACAAACACTAAATGTAAAATAATGTCCCATATAGGACCCTATAAAAGAAAAATAACATGCCACAAAAACTATAAAAATATGAAAACTGTATGGACTTTTCTTAATAATAATGTATCAATATCAGTTCATTAGTTGCAACAGATGTATCATAGAATAATGAGGAAACAAGGTGTGAAATTGAAGGGAAGACTATATTCTTGCAACTCTTGTATAAACTTAAAACTATTATTGCATGAAGAGTTCATTTTTTAAAAAACTTAGATTAGTAAAATAGAATTAAAATGATAGTAAACTCCCTGAAAAATAAGAACAATGATAGCTACGACTGACATGATTGTTTTTTGAGTGATCAATCCACTCAGATATTCCAATTTAATTTAATTCCAAACACTAAATTTGGAATTTAATGTTTGCTTAAAGGAAGCACCCTTAAAAGTAAAACATTGCCCAGAACTAAATGGGTAAAGTTAAAATTTAAATTATGATACACATATAACATATATGGAATCAAACTGCAGCCTTACCTAAATTAATATAGAGCACCGCCACCTCCCTTCTTGCCATTTCCAACACTAGCCCAACACTAAGCACACTGGCAAATCATACTGCGTTTACAGAGATTGTCTTGTGGTGGGAGTGGGGGAATAAAGAAAAAAATACATTGTATCTCATAAAGGAAACATTATAAAAATTCTCTTTAAACCTTGTTTTCTTTTTAATTAACAAAAGGTATAGAAGGTATGTCTAGTTTTATTATCATACTCTCCAGAATCTTTTTCTTTTTCTTTTTTGAAGACCACAAGGGTGCAGCTTTATTTCACTTTTAGTTTATCTAGAGCCTATTGTTTTTGTACCTAATTTAGAGCTTTCTTGATTTCTTTAACATATATCCTCATATATCAATATCCTGGAACAACTTGGAAATGTTCCTTTAGATTTTTCTTTTTTGAAAGGAAAAAATAAGTATTACAGATAACTTTTTTAACTTCCTTTTTTTGTTTTCTCTGCCACACATAACATATATTATATTCAATTTTTTTCCAGGATTAAAAGAAAAACTTTGTTTCCAACCATTTTTATTGTGCAGGAGTATTATCTGACAACACAAGTTTTTTTGAAATAGAACTACATGACACATATTAAGAAATTTATGAAGGAAAAACTACAAGAAAATATACTAGAAGGTACTGTTGGAATATAAAATAAGGTATCCTGTGCTAAATCTCTGTCTTTGGTGTTTTCAAAGATTGAGACTGAATCCAGATTTCTATCAAGATTCATAAAATTTATCATGATGTTGTTTAATTCACTACTGCTGTATAGTATATTGTTCCTGGTCAATTTTTAGAAACATCTGAGGTGATAAAAGTTAAAAGAATCATGAAGAAAACTGGAAATGCTGACTTGTAGGAGATAATATCCTTAAATTGATATACTATGAAAAAAATGTTTCACTGTCTTCTTCGCTGCTATGCAATCTATTTCTAGTACAGTGTTAACAAAGTTTTTTCTTACAAGCATTATACTTTTTAAACAAATTTACTAATTATGGATGTACTAATTAATATTTTATTTATTATTCTAGGTACAGTATTTCATTACTATACAATAAAGGGTATATTTTCTTTTATTTTTAGGTGGTTAATAAAATAATTCACACAAGATTGTGGCTAATCAAATTACTGTAGTCAAGAAATCAGAATTGCAGATAACAGCTCTTGGAAGTCCACCTCCAAGTATGGAGGGTGTTCATGCATGAGTTTAGAGAAATTTTTGTGAATTGACCAGTCACATAAATTGGTTTCTACTATAGTTGAGGACATGACTTTCTATATAAATTGCAGGGCATAATACAAACTAAAGACAAAAGACTGCTCATTAAAAATGTATTCAAAACTTTAAAATGGTACCAAAAGAGCATGAAACCAAGAGCAGGGATCTTCTGAGCATTGAGTCCTGTGCAAATGTAAAAAATCATGAAGCTGGCCCCGCAGAGGGGTAGTGAGAATTAGGGAATAATACTCTTTTCCTTTGGTACCTTACTGATTCCCTGTTTTAGGTATGAATCCACAATCTTAAAGTATTTTCTCTTCTTGGCATACGTTTGCATGCACTATCTCTCCTTTTAAGCTTTTCTGCTTTCTCTTTTATTTATTTAATTTATAAACCTTGAAATAAGGGTTCAGGGTAAAAAAAAGACAAAGTAAATAATTTATTTGTAACCCATCATACACATCTAACCACAGAATAACAAGATGAAAGATACCAATTCTGAACATTCCCCAAATTTACCAGTTAATTTCTGGGAGAGCTTTATCTTCCACTCAAATTTAGTCAAGAGAGAAGGTTACTTTGGCTTAATGAAATGACTCATCTCCAAGGTAATGTCCAGTCTCATATCAGCCAACATAAAATCACCAGGGTATATTAAGGATGAGCTTGATATATATTTTTTTCACTCAAATACCTATCAGCTTTGCAATGCAATATTTTCTCTCAAAGACAAGGGAGACATCCATGTTAAATAAAAAAAAAAGAATTTAGAACAATCTATTTTGTATTGTTACATACTTAGACAGTTGGAATTAATATATGCCTTATTTTAATCCACCATAAAATAGTTTGAAAATGAAGGGAGTAAAAGAAAGAGGAACATCAATCCAGGATATAAAACCCAAGGACAACTTCGAACAATGCATTTTTAGTGCTGTGAATGTTTTAGTTATGATAGCTAAGGAGAGAAAACATATTAAAGAACATTGAAGAGAGGAGTTACAAAGAAGTACAGTCTGAGCGGAGTCAGAGGGAAATATAATTTGATAGAGAAAAGAAGACAATGGCATTAAAACACTTATATATGAGCAAGTTGCTAGAGAGGACAGCTGGCAGAGGAGATTCTCTGGGTTCAATATGAAATTTTTCCACTTATAATTATTTCACCTTAGGGAAGTTATTCATTTTTAATATGCTCACAAATAAACAAGTAGAATAATAATTTCATATGATTTCTTTCAGAGGGAGTAAACAGAGATCCTTTTAATAATTATGAAGTGACAATAGGTGTGAAATTTAGATGAACAGATATCTGGTGACCACATTTAATGAGCAAAATGTTGAAGTTAAAAGAATTTATTTCTGTTTTATCCCTTCAGTTTTCAGTATTCTCATCCCAATAGATGACAAAAGGTCTGGGACAAGATGACACATGGCAATTCTGTCTCTGTGATCTGACCATCAGGAAAAGAACTCTTAATAATCCAGGCTAACCTTTGCTGCAGTCAAATATACCCAATTTCCTCCTTCAGTGGTATATCAGACATCAGCTTTCTTTGAGGTAATCTTCATAGAGATACTGAGAGAAATCTTTATAATCAAAATTACTTAATAAAATAGTTCTGTGGTTATAGTGCAGGTTTAACAAGGGACATACAAGTCATAACGTCTTAATTTCAAATATCAAAAATCCATAAGAGGTTAAGATATGAAAATTGAAGGATAGAAAATGTGGTCTTATTAGTGCTATAAGATGTCCTTAAACTCCTTAAATAATGGTACCAGGAAGTATACTTTGTTTCTTCATTTATCTCTTAAAGCTTGGTCTTAAGCCCCAGAGGCTAAAGGCCTGAATTTCAATTCATATTTGTTTCATAATACCTGTGACCCCTCAAGAACCAGCCACTAAACTGTGAGAAACTACTATTTCCTACATGGTGAAATAAGATTATTTTCTTAAATATGGCACAAGGTTTTATGAGAACTGCAGAAACATTGCTTAGCATCATGCATGACATATACTAAATATTCTGCCAATGCCACTTAGCTATCCTTGATGTTATATGATTAAATTGTGGGTATTTTATAAATATGCAGTCTCCTAATACATAGTTGTAAACATGTGTAAAGGTGTCTAGTGAGCAATTAATAGATGCTTTTTTATCATATTTCATTCTTACCTTCATGATTTGTATAATAGATTCAGAGAATGAAACACAACTCTGGGATTTGTACTTTTTAAAGGAAACAATTAAATCCCAGATCTAAATGTACATAACCATGATAAGTAAATCTCTAAATAAGACAATATGGATCAACATTATAAACTTTCTCTTTTTAAGATACAAATAACAATAATAGTGTGGGTTATGTCTTCATAAATTATATACACTCCCAGTTATTTGTGTCAAACTTCTCTTGTGCCTGATGGTTTCCAATTCAAAACAGGGTAATATTTTTCCAGTTTTCAAAGGAAGTTCTGATTTGTCAGTACATAGAACTTACCCATCTGCAGACATACATATTGACAGAATTTAAGTTAACAACTAAATTTTTTTTCATCCTGGGTGGCAATTTATGTTTCTTTAAAACTAAGTCTTTAATGTCCTTTTCATTTTCCTATAGCAAAGATTCCATCATACCAAACCAAAAACAAATAGTATGTCTATAAAAAAAATGTAAGAAATCACTACTCCAAGCTATATACTAGGTTGTCAAACATTATTCTTATAAAATCTATAAACACATTGGCCAATATTTACTTGTTTTTTTAATAATAATGTAAAAGCAATAGTCGTCAAAAGTGGGGACTTTGGAGCCAGAATAATCTGGATTAGTTCTCATCTCCATTTCTTATTTGATGCATTCTCTAACAAGTCTCAAAATTTCTTGTGTCACTTTTCTCAGCTTTAAAATGGGGATAATTATATATATATATATATATATATATATATATATATATATATGTTTTAAGAGCATATGTAAATTATAATAACTGTAGTAATTAAATATTAGCATAACAACAGCTTATACCTCTCAAGTAAGTAGTAAACACTAGGTGGTTGTACTAAATATTAAATTGTGGTTGTCAAACTAATATTCTTAATAATGCATACTTCATTGTGTTCTACAGATATTGATTAAAAGAATATTTGAAAATTTTAAATTTTGACTTCTGACATATTAAAATATTCTAAAATATAGAGTTTCTGGGTTCATGAGACTATAGAAACCATATGTGAATTTGTTTAAGTTCTTTGTAGATTCTGGATATTAGCCCTTTGTCAGATGGGTAGATTGCAAAATTTTTTTCCCATTCTGTTGGTTGCCAGTTCACTGTAATGATAGTTTCTTTTGCTGTGCAGAAGCTCTTTAGCTTAATTGGATCCCATTTGTCTGTTTAGGATTTTGTTGCCAATGCTTTTGGTGTTTTAGTCATGAAGTTCTTGCCTATACCTATGTCCTGAATGGTATTGCCTAGGTTTTTTTCTAGAGTTTTTATGGTGTTAGGTCTTATGTTTAAATCTTTAATCCATCGCAATTAATTTTTGTATAAAGTGTAAGAAAGGGGTCCAGTTTCATCTTTCTGCATATGGCTAGCCAGTTTTCTCAACACCAAAACAAACAACCACATCGAAAAGTGGGCAAAAGATATGAACAGACACTTTTCAAAAGAAGACATTTATGCAGCCAACAAACATATTAAAAAAAAGCTCATTATCACTGGTCATTAGAGAACTACAAATCAAAACCACATTGAGATACGACCTCATGCCACTTAGAATGGTAATCATTAAAAAACCTGGAGACTACAGATGCTGGAGAGAATGTGGAAAAATATGAATACTTTTACACTGTTGGTAAGAGTGTAAATTAGTTCAACCATTGTGGAAGACAGTGTGGTGATTGATTCCTCAAGAATCTAGAAATAGAAATACCATTTGACCCAGCAATCACATTACTGGGTATATATCCAAAGGATTATAAATCGATCTATATAAAGACACATGCACACGAGTGTTCATTGCAGCAGTGTTTACAGCAAAGATATGGACCCAACCCAAATGCCTATGAATGCTGGACTGGATAAAGAAAATGTGGCATATATACACCATGAAATATTATGCAGCCATAAAATGGGATGAACTCATATCCTTTGCAGGGACATGGATGAAGGTGGAAACCATCATTCTCAGCAAACTGACGCAAGAACAGAAAAACAAACACAACATGTTCTCACTCATAAGCTGGTGTTAAACAATGAGAATACATGGACACAGAGAGGGGCATATCACACATCAGGGCCTTTGGTGGGTAGGGGGCCTAAGGAAGGGATATTAGTGGTTGGGGGAACTGGGGAGGGATAACATTAGGAGAAATATCTAATGTAGGTGATGGAGGAATGGATGTATCTAACTAAAACGGCACATGTATACCTATGTAACAATCCTGCAGGATCTTCACATGTACCCCAGAACTTAAAGTATAATAAAATAAAATAAAAACAGAAACCATATGTAAAAATAAAGTAACATCAGCATTCTATAGACATTTTCTTCTAATATCCTAGAATAAAAAAGGTTCCTTATCGGTTAGTTTTATTTCATTTTACTCAGCTAATGAAGGTTAAGAATAAATACTCTTGAAAATTACATGAAAACAGTTCTTCAAAAATACATAAAAACAGTAAAAATATAAGACATTTGTTGAAAGTAATTCTAAAAATGCAAACACATAATTGATCTCTTGCTTTGACTACAGCCCTATCTCCTAATTCGTTGTTCTTCGTCTGTTCTTGTTTTACTTCTTCTATTTTTCCCATAGTAGCCAGAGCAACTTGAGTAATACATGAAACTGATTATGTGGCTGTTCTGCTAAAAGTCTTCAAATTCTTCCACTGTGCTTAAAATACAACTAACTTCCTTACCCTTGTTTACAAAACTCATGTGACCTGTTCCTTGCCTAATGTTCTGACTTAAATTCATATCTTTCTCTTCTTCACTTAACAGCCTTTACCCACAACTTACTATTTCTGGAACACATTTATGTTCATTTCCAGCAAAGACACTTTGTATTTGCCATTTCCTCTGACAGGAAAGCTTTGGAGCTAGATTTTAGCACCATTGCCATATTCTTATACTTTAGATCTTAACTCAGGAATGCCCCTTTTCAGACGCCTTTCCCAACTACCAAATGAATTGTTGCTTAAACTCCATCCTTATCACTAATAATACCCTTATTAACTGTCAAATACATTACTCTTGTAGTGTATTAACATGATTGTTCTCTTAAAGTATCTATTAATTCATCTACCTCTTGATTGCAAGCTCCTTAAAAGCAAGGATTTCACCGGCTTTTTCCACATTTCTCCCACCCAGAACAATATTACCTAAATTATAGTATCACAATACATATTGTGTAATCAATGAATAAAAAGATATAAATTAAAAGAGAAGCTTGTTGATATGCTAATATGAAGATGCCAATGTTCAAACAGAATTTTATCAGTAAATTTGGAATAAAAAATGTTAGAAAAGATATTCAATGGCAATGGGGTGAGTGATTGAGATGTATTATACCACAGTAATTTAAAAACACTAAGTGTGAACAAAAGTATTAGTGAATGCACCATTAAAGTGGTATAAGTTGTACACAAAGCTAATTCATCACTAAATAGTTTACACTCTAACTCTTCCATAAGTTTCACATTTGTCTCTTTCTTTAAATCCCCCTTGGCCACTTTGTTTGGGCTATCCTTTTCCTTCCTGTCTTCTAATTGGGAATTGTCTTCATAAGGTGAATTTTAATCTTACTTGAATCAATGATTAGAAGAAATCAGTTTTAATTAACATGCTTCTTCATAAATGTATTTAAAAGTACCCTAAAATTAATTCATTTAAAGTGAAAGCCTGACTGTTTTATAAAATATTTTTCAACAGTACTGCATTTTCACACTAAATAGGCAATAACCTAGCACCTTATTATTTTATATTGGGCCTTGGCTAAGTGTGGCTCATGGACTAAACCCAGCCAGCCAACTGTTTTTGTAAAAATGATCTTATTGAATCACAGCCACACCTATTTGTTTATTTATTGTCTATAACTGCCTTTATTCCACAATGACAAGATCATTGCAACAGAGACTGTATGGCCAACAAAGCAAAAAAATATGTATTATCTGCCCTTTTACAGAAAATGTTTTGTCCCTACTTCATACCATTGTTTTATAGATATTAGAAACCGTATAAAACTTAAATTGTTTTCTTGTATCAGCTTTATTGAGTCATATACGTCTCTCTCACTTTCAAAACAACATAAAGATTACATTTCAAGATCTCTTATTGGCCTTTAAATGTTGAAGACCTTGGCAAACAGACATTACTTTGTTTTCACTAGTTTCTTAATAAAACTGTTAATTGACAAGTTACCTTATTTAGCAGGAAGTCAATAAACCACAGTTTAAATCAGTAGATAATGCTGTTTTAAGCTTTGGAAAAAATAATTAGTTTCACCAAAGGGATGGGCAATTACTGCCATTGCTAAGTAATTCTGTATC